ACAATGTGGAACTTTTTCTTAGCAGCGAACTGGGACACAGTCCGAAGAGGAATGTCAAACTCTTAGGACGCGAGCGGAGGAGCGACTTCCACCACAATCGAACCACCCTCTCGAGGCATGTCGGTCTTTCTTTGGTTTTGTCAGGTTCAGTCTCGCATCCGGAAGTTTCGATTTATCGGAAGCAAGTTTCCAATCTGAGTGACAAGACGCCAAGAGTTTTGGAAATTATGTCCGTGTGAGCTCTTAATTATGGGTGTGAAGCGCGCCACATTCATGGCTAAGAGGTTACAAGCCTCCTTTTCATACTCGTTAATGTGTCACTCTTCCAAAACCGAAGGTTATCTAGCATAATAGGTTTCCTTTTCCATCGATTGAGTCGAACTACACACAGACTGATTCCGAGGTCTAAGGATATGTAGGCGGATTCAATGTCGAAAACTCAGGTGTATTCCAACATTTTGCTCTCGAATTCTATTCTCGAGCATCTCGGCACCTTCATAATTCGGTGACGGGGTGACTTCTATTTCTTTCAAATCGTGCGGTAAATCAAGCTTATCGAACTACAAGTGGCCTGAATTCTCATGTACCCTGAGATATGTAGGAAACACGTTTTCAAGGGTTCGGCCATAATTCCTAAACCCTTTGTCGATTCCTTCCTTTAAAAAATGAATGGGGTTGGTCAAAATTGGTTCGGTCAATTTCATTTTCCTCGAGTTGCTTGCATCAACCCAAGTGAAATGAGGGACATTTGTTGACACCCAATTTTTGAGCCACGTCGGTATAAATTAATTATCGAGCTTCGTGAGGTTTTCAAATTATTTAAATTAATTAGTTTTTTTTAAATCTTGCGAAAATTAAAAATATATATATATATATATATAATACATGGATTTTATGCTACTTATCATAACTTTAGATAGTGTATATATATATTACATCATTATGTATATAGTTTGTATATTTTAGGATTATTCAAGAACCCTCTAAGAAATACACCTAAGTATATTATTAAATTAGTTCAATCAATTTATAATTATATTTTAAATCACTTTTACGATTTTGTAATTATTAGATAGCAAAGCTCCTTAATTAATCGATACGAATTCATTTTTTATTTTAGGTTTGGCCAAACTTGGATATTCATCAAACCAACCCATCCTTAACTTAGCTTGACTAGCTTGGGCCGTTCACACAATCCTCAGCAGCCCACTTCTCCCTCATCCAGCCCATACTTTAATACCCAGGCCCACTCCACTCCTCTCTCACATTCCCAAAATAAAATTACTCAGGCCCAAACGTCCATCCCTCAACCCAACCCAATAAAAACCCCTCAACCCAACCCAATTATCCCTATCCGACCCAATTCATTAACATCCCAGCACACTAAATTACTTTCTAACCCGCCCCCCGACCCAGACCCTCTACCCTCTTCCTTCTTCCCCCCTCACACCACGCTAGAAACCCAGAAAAGAACAGAAAAAATGCAGAAGAAACAGACCCCAAAAATGGAAATTGCCCCTCACACCCTCGCGTCCCCCTAACGTTCTCTCCCTCTCTCCCAAACTTCCTCCCTCGCGCGAACCCAACGCGAGTCAATCGCGTCGTTTCTCTCCCCCCCTTCACCCGTACGCGCCGCAGCAGCAGGTCTGGCAGCAAGGAAGGCTGCCAGCTCTCGTCTTTGCCATGCCAAGATAACTCTACGTAGCCGCCCAAGGACACTTCTCTCCATCCCGACCATCCGCTCTGCCCTTCCTCTTTCGGAATGGGGCGAACTTTTCAGAAAAAGGATGCTGATCTGTTTAGGGAAAAGGATTTCGAGTTTGAAATTCGAAATGGGCCTGAAATCCCGCCCAAAACTCGAAACCCTAATCTTCTCTTCTATATAAACCCCAACCTTCTTCAGCGTAGAGGGTGGGGAGAATTTTTGGGTATCGGAATTTTAGAAGTTGGAAAACATTTAGCAATTTTTAGGTTGAGAAAAATCTCAAAAAAATATTCGTTTGGTTCACTTCTGTTTTGCTGTAGAAGAATAGTTCAAGCCTTTAGCTGTTCTCGCGTATTTCGGAAGAACTAACTGATTCATCGGCTTTCGACGTCATTCGGGTGTTCATGTTTCCGTTTACGGTGGAGGTCGTCACTTGTTGCTGCTCGTCCGTCCCAGTGTCTGCTACTCGAAGAAAGGTAATCCTCCTTCCCGTCACCGTCATCTTCGTTGTTGTTCTTCTTCTTCGTGTTTTTATTTTTTGTGAAATTTTTGATGCCCACAAAGCGTTAAAGGACGTTTAGGATGGTCACTATAGGTTCTGCTTGTTGTTTGTCAATATATATGCTCTTGGTGTTTCCGTTTGTTTATTCATAACATCAATTTAAAATTGACATGGTTAGGATTAATTTTAAGGTCCTTTGTCTGTCAAAGTTTAAGTCTGCCGAGGTTTTCTTTTTGGCATGAATATGATATTTCGTGAAGTGTAAATGAATTCGAATGCGAATGTATGTTGCAGTTGACTCGTTAATTCTTTCATCAACGTCTGTTACTTAGACAATGCGTAGGCTGTTCGTGTTGTTGTGCGTTTAAAGATAGTTTCTTTTTTTTGTTCCTTTCACTCGCTTCATCTTAAGTTCAATTTGATGGATGCCTTACATCGACTTAAATTCAATTTTGGTGGGGCTGGTAGGCAGTGTAAGATGTTGTTTTGAGATGGGTGTTGTTTCTTTTGTCGTCTTGCTCGTCGGGTAGCTTCGTTCTTTGCCTTGTTTGTTGCTGTTGTATTAAAATTTGTTTGGTTTGAATGAAGTTAGCCAGTCGGTTAACGCGCCAAGTGACTTACTCATGCGAGATATTCGTCTCCGAATACCCATGAATGCGTAGGATGGCGCGAGAGATAGCTTTGTGTTTTCTTTGGCTTTATTCTGCCTTACTGTCGGATCTTCTTTGTGTGATATCGAAAGGTGTAGTCTGATCAGTTCATTCCTTCTGTTGAACATCTCTGTGGTTTGCTGCTAGATATTCAAAGGTTTCAAAGCTGCGATTCGCGTTTTATCTATTTAGCAACTTGAGCAACTCCGTGATTTATTCTGTTTCTTGCTAAAGTATTGGAGTCGTTCGTGCTTTAGCCTTGCTGTCTAGCTTGTTTTTTTGGGCGTGAGAGAGTCGTCTATATTTCTGTTTTGCATTAGATTTGTCTTGGTTTCGTTATTATCTCATATACTAACTTGTTTCGTTATGCTCCATGTGAAACTCTATTTGAGTCCGTTTGGGACTCTACCCTTGGTTCTTACATTTCGGGAGAGCCTCGAAAGCTAAGAAATTGTGGTCAAGTCAACCCATATAGGCGAAACTTGTCAGAATCGGAATCGCGAAGATTGAAGAATTTGAAGAAATCATTTAGAAATTTCTTTAGTTTATGTTTTGTAATTAATTGTAATGGGCATATGCCCTTGTTGTTTTATTTTCTTGTAATATTTTTGTATGCTTAGACAGGACAGGTAAAAATGGGTCGAAACCCTAAAAACAGGTGGGTCCAAGTTTCGGTCAAGGCGAACAGGACCCGAAAACTTGGACCCAAATCTCTCCCTCTCTCTCTCTCTCTCTCTTTACTATTTGCTTATGTTTTGTTTCGAATGTCGTTAACTTAGGGTTAGAAACTCCAACCCCGTCGAAACGCCTCTCTACTTTTATCAAGACTAAAATTAAAAATTGAAGCTTTGTAAAACGATTGATGTTGAAATTTGAAGTTTTGTCTAGAATTGAAGTTTGAGAGAGTTTAACTTTAATAAGAATCATAAAACAATAAATATCGTAAAATTCATAAAAATTGTCTAGGTAAACTTTAAATAAGTTTAATTTCGAAACAGATTCGCAAAAATTGCAAGATAAACAATACATATTCAAAACTTGTAAAATTGGCGTAAAAATCTTAAGAAGTTCAAAAATTCGCAAATCTAAAACAAAAATAGTCAAATAGTTAATCGTCGGAAAACCGCAGTAAACGGAGCGTCTTAGGTGCTTTCTTTTTCGAAACCTTCCTAAGACGCTAATAGGAATCCCGAACCCCTTAAAATATTTTCAAGACAATTTTTTCTGTTTAAGTTGTTTTGGAAATGAGTTTTCTTGATTTTTCCTTAAAAATTAAGTGGCAACTCATAAAAGTCGAAAATACCCGTAAAATAAAACAAACTCTTTTCAAAATATATTTTTCGATAAAACAAGGGAGAGAGAGACTGACAAACAATTTGCTATGGAACAAAAATAAATCAAAGGGTAGTTACTATATTTATTTTATATTAGTAGTTTGTCATTCTATACAATTATTTTATAAATTAAAGTTAAAGGACTTCATTTGATTTTGACTTTAGACCACATATATGTTTGAGTTAACCAACTTTTTCTTGAATGGATCGGGCCCTACGGGCCCTACTAATAACTATACAAATATCTTCTTTTTTACTCGAGAAAACTTATCAAAGGTTGATTTATGTAAATATTTCTTTTAGGCCATTATTTAGAATTTGTCACATTGTTTAGTAGTTGTGAAAATATAGCTCTTTGAGATTGATAAAATATTAAATAAAAAATTTAACTGTTAGAGTAATGTATACTCGTATCATTTTCATCAATTTGCTCCAAATGCATATTTAAACCATTATCTAAATTTTTTTTTAAAAAAAATCATTTACTAAACAATAATCGCAGACAAAATTTCTGGTGATTAATTAATATACAGCTCCAATGTATTTCAACTGTCTTATCTAACATCCTTATCATTACTATTAAGAAATGGGGCCATAACGTAACATTTCTCTTGAATTTTGGCATTTTGCATTTGCCACTTGGTTCCATAGTAAAGCAAGATTAGTAGCCACCGACGATAAATGATGTAGACAAGTTACAGTACTTGTGTCTGATAAAAAAAACGTACTATTTTGAAAATTGACGGATTCAACACGCTCTATTATTGAAGTGTGCGGGCGACATAAGTTGAGAGTACATAACTTACTGCAATTGTATGCAATATGCTTTTGTACCTACAGATATCATATACAAATATACTAGTAATAACAAAAGAACATAGAACCATAAGTTATGAATCCCAGAGCTAGCTGCATTCAAGGGCAGCACTCGGGGCAACGAATCAATCCATTTTCGTTGCAATGTGGACACCTCATCGACTTCCCTTCCTCCTCTTTGAAAAATTTCTGGCTCCCATTGCAACTAGGACACGATACAAACCTCACCTCACCACAACTTTCACAAGTGAATCCATCATTCATAAACGCAAACCCTTCTAAAAGCTTAGCCAATTCTCTGGTGTCATGAAGTTATGTAATCTCTTCTAAACCACCAATGTACTTCCCTCTTATAAACACCTGAGGCAAGCTCAGTGTTTTACCTTGTAAAGCATCTTGTAACTCTTTTCTATACGATGAATCCATAGAGATATCCCTTTCATCTACACATACACGAACCCCTTTAAAGATCATATGCACGGAACAACAATCTTCATAAGTCTTCCTGATTCCCCTTAGACTAGTAAAATACACAACCACCTTATCTTCAGTACCTTTTAAGTAGATATGATCAGTATTACGCGAAAATGAGCTCAAACCCTGATCATGCCTATATTGGTTGGAAGAATACAATGCTTTTCTATAACTTAAAGTTACATTAGGATCCATTTTCACCAACAATGATTCCTCAGACAAATGCTTCCATAATGGCTTCGTACTCGGATGCTCATTAGACTTCACCAATTCTTTCTGAATATCATATACAGGGGACGGAACCATACAAAAATCTATGTCATCTAGGCCTTCCATTAGCTCCCAAGTGTTGATTGTTGCATCAGGAGATGTGGTGGGGTTGTCTAGAACTCGATGATCAAGTGATCCATAGGTAGAGGAAGTGAGTGAAACTAAGTGATTGGTGTCCCCTTTACAAAGAGGTGGATGGTGAATTAGAGGTGTCGGTAGGAAGAATGTTGTTTGAAACTGGAGATGAATGTGAGTTTGATACATCTCTAGTAGCAAAGTCATGATAGGAACGAGAAACGGAGCAACCCATTAATCGAAACACCAAAAAGATTGAATCTTTATGCAAATACACCAAGAGAAAGTGAAGCATAGTATAGGGAAGAAAAGTGAAATAAATGGAAGTGAGAAGAGCTGGTTTAATTCATATAAATTGGGAAAATAAAAGAGTGATAGCCTACCACTTGTGCTGTGAATATTTCATTAGGAAAATACGTCCACTTGAAGTATCGGGTTCAAACTCCGGATATATGAAAAAACAAAAAAAATAAATGGTAGACAATGATCAAAGATTATAAGCAAATATTAAAGGTACATAGAAGTACACAACTTTTTTCTTGAATACATCATTACAAAGTAAGTTTCCTTTTATTGTTTCGAAAACAATACCCCCCCCCCCCCTTTTTCAACAAGAAGCAAGCAACATTACTTTTCATTTACATTGCTCAGACTGCACTAATTTTAGAGATTCAATCTGTAGACATTTTTTAAGAGTCCAAGCAAAATATGGTTTTTCACAAAGACTATAACCAAATTAACAAGATATTTCAACAACTGGATCAGTCTTAAAGAAAGTGCTCCTGTCATGTTTGTTCAACGGTGCATTCGCTTCAAAACGTTTAGGCAAATCAGGATTTGCCAAAAACAAACGTCCAAATGAAACTAAATCAGCATAACTTTCAGTAACTGCTTCATCTCCATTGGTTTTATTGTATCCATCAGAAGCAATGCACTCCTTATTGATTTTAGGCAACGAGGTTTGTCCTTTGGCTCAAACACATGTAGATATAAAAATCCAAGCTTAGTGAGTTCACTAGCCAAATAAGTCGATAGAAATTCTGGGTTCGAGTCTTTTTTTCCATACACTTCAGAAAATAGAGAGAGTTTTACATCAACTCTGTCTGATCCAATTTCATCCACAACTTCTCCTACAATTTTGAGAGCAAGTCTACAACGGTTCTCAATGCTTCCACCATATTCATCGGTTTTATCATTGACTTGATCATTCAAGAACTGATCGATTATGTAGCTGATTGCAGAGTTGATCTCGACTCCATCAAATCCTTCATTTTGAGTAACAACAACATGTTATCAAGTAAAAAAGTTGCGCAATGTTGTAAAGTTGTGTTAAATTAATAGATATGTTATTACCAACTTCAATGGCATTGCGGGCTGCAATTCTAAAATCGTTGACAATGATAGGGATTTCATTAGCTTTTAGTTGCTTTGGTGTCTTCAGGTACTACACATCGTAAAGAACAAAATACAAGAACAACTCAATCACAAAAATAAGCTCAAGAACTGAAAATTGTTCAACATTAACCATACAAGTTAGCTAGCTCGAGAGACGAGGATTGCTTAAGTCCATATAAAGAGACTAGGTCAAATTACCTTCAGCGCAAACATGAGAATCTAGCTAGCATTATATTATATTAAATCCATTAACTGCATTCCAAAACATTATGAAATTGTTGAGAGTTGAATCGGATAATCGGCCCAGATGCCAAAGCTGACAAAAAAAGACACCGCCTTTGCCATGAACAGAGTCAACAATGGGCTTCCATGCCTCTGTTTGATCTTTAGTCTATATTCCAGGCACCTTCAAATACAAAAAGTAACTGAAAATAAATCTCATATATACTAACAGTGAGTTATGAATCATCATCAGTATGCAATTCAGGTCGATTAGAAGGTATAGTATAAGACTAGCTAGAATTGAATGTTGTATGTATGAAAGAAACATATCATAATGTATTTTACCAGAAAATAGATGGTTGTTGTAATACCTCATATATTTTAAGTTCAGAACATGCAGATTTATGGACCACATCAACGAGCTGTAAAAGGAACCATGGACCGTAGATGAGGGTCGTAGATCAGGTTCAGAGTTAGTGAAATTCTTGAGTTCAGAGACAGTTGGCATTCAGCCAGATTTCTACGGGTCGTAGATTGACTCGTAGATCAAAGCAGTTAGACTTGACTTTTAGCCTGATTTATACAGACCATGTCTACAGCCTGTAGATGGAACTACAGACAGTAGATTGGTCGAGTAGATCAAACTTCAGAAACTCAACTTGATTTCTACAAGATTAAACCACGGAGTGTAGATGACCCTCAAAGACGGGTCCCAACAGTTTCTAAGAGGGGCTATTTAAACCCCCAATGTTTTAGTACCTAATTTGGGGATTATATCATGGTATTACTTTCAGTATACTCTCACATAATCTTTCGCCCTAAGCATAGAGCAAGAATAAAAAAGAGCAACCTAGGGTTTCAAGAATCTCAATCAAGTTTTCTTCGAGAACTCTTGTTCTCTCAGGTATATATATATAAGGCTATAATAGTGAATGATTGAGTTCTTCCTCATGCCCTACATACATATTTCAATTAGTAAGACGAAAATCTAGGGTTTTACTCATGATCTATGATTTTCGTCTTTTGTATACTTCCAATTGTTGATCCTTGATTTTTGTGCACTGTTTTCACAATCAAAGTCTTAAAAAAGTAATTAAGAAAGAGTTCTAAGGGTATATTAATCTTTTTAAGTGCATTACTTTCACAAGAAAAGCATGACTAGTTCTAAAGGAGAGCATCAGTTTTAAAGGTAAGTTCAGTATGATCATAAAAGAAGCATTTTTTTAGTATTAACTCAATATAAAGATTTCTATGAGCGTTATTGCACTGTCTTGAGAGTAGTATTGAGCACCGAGTTAGGTAAGGTTTAAATAATCTAAGACCTATAATTGCACCGCCAACGTAGGATAGGATATGCAATTGATTCGGGCGACTCCTCATAAAACCCCATGTAAGGGGTTTGGATCATTAGTTAAGCCTGTTCTTTACCCCGGCAATGGTATAGGATGACTCTAACAACATGTGCAAGACGTTGCATCATCATGATGCTCATATTAATGATTTTTGGTTAGAGCAAAAAAACTAAGAATAGTAAATTATATTATTTTCAGGATTTGCTACTAGTACATACTTTTATGTTGTAAACCTTTGTTGTTAAAGTACACTTGCATGTTTTACTTTTCAGCTATCTATTTACAGTCTATTCCATGAGTTATTCTTTCAGTTTAACCAGTGTTTCATTTAACTATTTTACATAACATACATTCGATATACTGACGTTATTTGACATTCATCTTTAAATAATGCAGGTGATCAGGATCGGCAACAAATACTTCTCTAGGATTACTTTTTATCGTGAGACCTCATTGCTTTCGGAGGGCTCCAGATCATTTATTTCATTCAGTATTCAATAGACAGTTTTAGTAGAGTGTTCAGGTAGTTGCGGTATTGTCCCTAAGCCTGGCAGCGGAACCGGTACATACCGGATTTCAGACCGGTCCGTCCCGGTCCGATTCGGTACCGGTTAGTACCGTTTAGGACCGGTAATTTCTGATTCCGGAAAAGATACCAGGACGGAAATCGGTAAATACCGAAATTTACCGGTTTCGATAATTACCGGTCTGGTCTGGTTAAATTTTTTTTAAAAAATAGATCCATTACTAGCCGTTGGGTAACGACTAGTGGGCCCCCCCAACGACTATTTGAGTAGATTTTCATTCAATAGGAGCCCTACCCCACCCCCTAACTTTTTTAATACCCTAAAGTTTTAAAAATTATACTTTAACCCATTTTTTACTTATAAATACCCCTAAATTTCATTCTTTTAAATCACAAAATCATCTATTCATCTTTTACTCTCTCAACTCTCTACTCTCTATCTCTAATCTCTAATTCTATAATATATAATATTTTAAATTCCGGTGTTGCCTTACTTAGTCTTTGGAATTAGATTTGGAGCTTCAAAATTCAATTTTAAACTTTCCACGTTCGGCTTTCGGCGGTCATAAACGTCTACTTTTTTAAGTAGACGTTCGGTACATTCGTTCTAACTTTTATTTTACGTTTCATTTATTTTTAAATAATTATTTAATTATTTTGTGATTTATTATTTGCATAATTGCATAACATTTTTCGTATTATATTTAATCTCACATTTAATTTTTTAATATGGATTTTGGCAAAAATATTGTTCAAAAAGGAAAGGGAAAAAAAGTGCATTAGAGCGTATAAGAAATATTTGTAACTTTACATCCTCCGATAATGCAAAAACCGATAGTTCTTCTAAATCAAAAACTAAAAAATCTACTATATTAAGAATAAATACGGATGATTATACACATGTTGATGATACAGTTTTTAATATTGATAGTAATTCAGGATTAGATCCTTATCATGAACATTTACAACGTCGCTTTGGTAATTTTGATGAGGATTTGCCTAGTGATAATGATAATGATAATGATATTGATAATTATACTGATACGCCTACTTTTGATGATCATGATGATGATGAAACTGATCCACCTACGGCTACTAATACTCCCAGTCCCGCTCCCTTTTGTTGTCCTGCCCGAGTTCCCCCACTACATCCTAGGGCAAAGGTAGAACGTGTTAAAAAATCGGTTGTTTAGCAATTTATGACACAAAACGAAGATAAAACACAAGCTATTTGTAATAAATGTAAACATATATTAAATCATAAAATTGTTGGCAAATCTGGCGGGACGGGACATTTGAGTAGTCATTTAATGTCTTGTTGTAAAAATGAATTTTTGCATGCTAAAGCGGTAGCGGAAGATAAAAAAACGGTACCCCCCCTTCTTGAAAATGTAGGAGTAGGCGGCTCTAAAATGGTACAAACACAATTAAATCCGTCTAATGTTTCTGGCTCTAGTTTACTACCTTCATATAGTAGAAAAAAAGATCTTGAAGAACTAGCTAAAATGATATGTGTTATGGGTTTGCCATTTAGTTTTGCTGAAAATCCCGATTTTATACATTACATTCAAATTGTATATAATCCAAAATTTAAAGGTTTTGCTAGAAATACAATAAAAAAGGTTGTATTTGATTATCATGCACAACATTTTTAATATCTTCGTTGTTTATTTTATTATAATACTTGTAAAATAGCTATTACTTCTGATATGGGTCGTAGTGTAAATGGTAACGAT